TGTTGGTGCAGCACTCTTTGATATGTGTCAAAATACAGACCTCAAATAAGACCTTAATTTTGGACAATCCCACCATATGTGGACCATTGTACCGATCGCTGAGTTACAGCACCAGCAAAGGGTAGATTTTACGAAGGACCGCAGGACATCCTTTTAATGTATTTATGTACGAAGCCTTGCTAACCTTAGGTGTGGAAAATCCGCTCCATAGTAAAGCAATTCAACATACACAATCAATGCTTTGTATGATAAGGCCCTTAGAGAGCTACCTTACTCTGTCATGTGGTTATACACTTATGAATATGTTTCTTATCCTGACCAGCATCATTCATGAATGCCTTAAAAAAAAATCAGAACTATAAATAATAAGTAGAGGCCAAGCTATATTGTGTATAGTGTTCCCTTTGTTCAATAAATCTCTTACCGGTAATTTCTGTGTATGGCTTGCTGGAATCTCTAGAGTCTGCAGTTTTTCAACTGGTCAGAGCAGTTAAAACCAGTCTGTTGAGAATAAACATGGATGACTTATCTTTCTTAGAGACACCATCCTTGTTTGAATGGCACTTTGACATATTGCAGCTGTGTCAGCAGATTGTTGTTTAAAGGGAATGTACACATATATACAGTATATTCCACCTTCGAGGAAACAGCCTGTATTATATCACTTGTGCCATTCCCATGGGTATAATAAATAAAGGAGAGGTGGACACTCAAAGGGACAGAAACATAAAGAGCAGCTGTAGTACATTTATGTGTGTGTTTGTTTTTTAATATACTGTATACGTGATGGAGAAATCCATCTGACATGTATAACCTTAGCAATGTACAAATGTACAAATAACAATAAGTTGTATCTATTTGTACAGTATGTATGAGGGGGTAGCCATATGTGCTCATTAAATATACAGCCTTTGTTGTGCCACTGTGTGTTTCCAAAACTGGCTGTGTATTTCCACAAACACAATCTTTGCAGTTTTCACAACTCCAAGGCCTAGCCCTGTTTTTTTCCCAGGAGTGCAGGGCGTCAAGAACCCACCCCCTGGTAGAGCTTCACCACGGGACCCTGCACTCATAGTAAGTTCTGCAGGAATTACTGCTAACATTGCTATGCCAGCCCCTCTCTTTGCTTTATAAGGAACTGTCCAGTTCCAGAGAAAAGGCAAGGAGGAAGAGAACTCT